GGCAGTTGACTTCTGACTTCAAACTACCACGACCTCACTGTATGTCATATTCGGTCATTTCTATAGTACACAACTTACCCTACTCTCTATCATTGTGCCTGCCTCTTTTACATCTGCAAATCACTCTTCGGTCCACCCTCTTGAACTTTGATGTCCCTCCCCTCTGTGAAGTTCGATATCAGCTAAGGGCTAATGATAACTATCAAAATGCCTGCCATTCGAGATAAATAAATAAAATTATTTTATCCATTGGTTGCTTAAACAGAAGACCATGCAAATTTATGTACCAGGACACGATATTCTCCACTTTAGTACCTTTACCTAATTAACATTTAATAATGATCCCATTGTAATGCACGTACCCTTTAAAATCTCTTTTGCGTTTGAAAAAAACACATTTTATGACAAATTGGGCATTTATCAGTGCTGTGCGATACTATTGGTGTTCACATGAATAAAGCGCAAAAATTTCTGAATTTACTGTCATTTTGGCAGTAGGATTTTGGCATAGTAGTCTTATGAGTTGATCAACAATAATACGAATATTGTAGAAAATGCGTAGCTTTAACACTGCAAATGAGATAATTGAAATGAAAAGCACGCTTTTCTTGTTCTCATGAATTCATAAAAAATGTCAAATCGTTGTCTACCGGAAAACCCAACAATTTATGATGCTACACTTTACGAAAATTTTTACAACTCATATCTACTTTGATCAGCTGAATACAAGGAATTGCAAACTTCAATAAGTGAGGGTCAAATATTTATAGGTAATTGAGAGAGTTTGGAAAACAGCTCATTCCTTAGATTATATCTTACTTTCAGTGAAAGAGTTTGTCATGTTATTTTTTGTCCCAAAAACACCAACTCACTTTTGCTACGCCCGCAAAAGATACGATAATGAGTAGAAAATAGGCGTAATGAGGTGAGTCAAAAATTTGGACATTTTACATAGTCCCCAACTGTTTCCAAACATGAGGATTTCCAACACATTGATTCGCATTAGTCCATCTTTACCTTCTATAGCTTTCCTCCCACAGTTCGTTCATTTTTTTCCCAAATGCAGCTTCCTCATTATTAGCATAGTCACTTGCCTATCACCTTAAAAATTTCTTAAAATCTTGTTCCATTACATTTTATTTCAAGAGAGCAGTTGAAGTTGGGCATGTGAGATAAGTTTATTTTGAAAGAGAAGCAACACAGCTGCCTATACAATTACAGCGGTTGACACAAAAAGGACAAGAACTGGTCCAATACACTTCCCTTCATGTTTGAATAAATACAGCTCAAAAGTATTTGGTCTACATGTAGTTTAACCATTGTGTTAGGAAGCCAATCAGGCCAGTTTAGTACATTTGATCAAGTACGGTAAGAGTTCACTCGTCGCAGTTGGAAGTTCATTCCGCATGTTCTGCGCACGAACATAGATATGCGAAACAGTTGATGAAGTACTCATCGCCGCTATCAATGGGTGTTGATTTTATCCCTCAAGTAATTAGTCGTAATGCCTGGTTGTGTGGCCGTCTATCCCTCAAGTAATTAGTCGTAATGCCTGGTTGTGTGCCTTCTCGAATGGCTTGAGAAGCACCTCAGAGGCTGCAATGAGTAGCTCGCAGCAATAGAGCATTATTGGTTGAACAAACATCTTGTAAGTGGTGTTTAGAGTTGAGCGTACACAGCCCCATATGCTACCAGCGAGGAGCTTCAGTACGTTCAGTCTATTGAAGGCTCGTTCTGCTACTTTAGCAATGTGGCTTTTCCATGTTACTTTTGTGTCAGACTTCACTGCGAGATAAGTGAACTCGTTATTTTTCTAGATAAGTATCCTTGTACCTTAAATGAAGATTTATGCTGTGGTGGGCCAGTGAAAATATTTGGAATGCAGTTTTCGCGGTGTTGATTACCATTCCATTTGCAGTTTTCGCGGTGTTGATTACCATTCCATTGTTGTCGCACCAGTTTGCTAAAAGTTTAAGTGCATAAGTTAGGACACATTCCATCCTCTCCTGAGCGTTTTTCTTAGGGGCAGAATACCATAGAACAAGATCATCTGTATAAAGTAAGCACTTTATGCCCGTGAAAAATCATTTTTTCTTAGGGGCGGAATACCATAGAACAAGATCATCTGCATAAAGTAAGCCCTGAACGCCCGTGACTGTCTGTACCAATTCGGCTATGTCAATTGATGCCTGTGACTGTCTGTACCAATTCCATGTGGTAGATATGCCCGTGACTGTCTGTACCAGTTTGGCTATGTCATTGATGAAGACATTGAAAAGAGTGCAGCCCTGTGAAAGGCCTGTTTGTAAAGGATTGGATTTTGATAGAGCATTTAAGCTGTTTGTAAAAGATTGGATTTTGATAGAGCATTTCCAAGGCAAAAGATTGGATTTTGATAGAGCATTTCCGTATCTGATAAAAGATTGGATTTTGATAGAGCATTTCCATATCTAAAAGATTGGATTTTGATAGGGCATTTCCATATCTGACTTTACTTGATCTTTGTTCAATGAATGCTTTTATCTAGTTTAGCATTCATTGAATGCTTTTATCCAGTTTAGCATGTTATTCTTAATAAGGATTTCCGTATCTGACTTTACACGATCTTTGTCTAATGAATCTTATCCAGTTTAGCATGTTATGCTTAATACCAATCTATATCAATTTAGCATGTTATGCTTAATACCAATCTTTGCGTTTTAGAATTAGCTTCTCGTTCCATACTAAGCCAATTTTAGAATTAGCTTCTCTTTCCATACTAAGCCATATGCCCATTTGAAATGAATGAATACAGCCGTATGAGTTTTTCATGCATCTTTGATATGTTGGGAGAGAGTGGCTACTTGTTGGTTTGCTGATCTTTTTGGTCTGAAACCTGCTATTACGTTTCTAAGGATATTGTAAGTTTCAAGGAATCAGGTCAGCCTTGTGTTAACCATTCTTTACATAAGGTTAGCCAACATGCCTGTGAGGAAAGAAGGCATATAGTTGTCAAAGTTACTAGGGTCTTTGCCTTTTTTAGTATTGGTATTACTATGGCAGGTCTTTGCCTTTTTTAGTATTGGTATTACTATGGCAACTGTCCATTGGGTAGGTACGAGACTGGTCTCCCAAATTTTGTTGAAAAGTGTCAGCATGATTTCCGTGGCTATTGGCCCCACTCTAATTATAAATTAAGGATGAATACCGTCATCGCCAGGAGACATTTTGCACTTTAGCTGTTTTATCGCAGCATTAAGTTTGCGAGGGCTGAATGATTCAGTAAGTACATTATTTGGTATTGTTGTGTCTTCCTTAATTTCACCAAACTGTCTTGTATCTTTATATCTCTTGAAGAGTTTCTGGCAAAACGGTTTTTCTTTTGATTGTGAAAATAGAACCTCGCAAAGTAGTTAGCTATTGTTGTTTAAGCTTATTAGTTCTTTCTTGTGTCTTTTCTTGTTGTTTAGGAGGTTACCCAGGAATTGGAATGTGCGTTGGCTATCATTTTGATAGCTAATATTTGAGTCGAAGTTCCCGAAGGTAGTCCTTTTAGGTTGTAAGATAGCTTACCTTAGGACAGCTGACTGCCGTCTCCTGGTTGTACGTTTTCCTTTCTTTCAGTCTGTTCAGCAGTGTTGCGAAGCGCTTCCCGCTTTCTTTACAGTTTCCCAAGGTGTTTAGACCAGAGCACTCGATAGTGTTTAGTCTTACCACGGGGAGTAGTTTTCATTGCACATCTGATCATAATAGTCATGATATCGCTACACAGTTTGTCAGGATGTTGGTTGAAGTTGATGGGAATTGCGTGGAGTTCGTTCTCTAAAAGGTTTGTAAATCTAGGCCAGTCGGCCCTCTTGAAGTTCCGAGATAGCTTGATTTGCATTTTCGGTGTCATGCTGCCGATGGTAATGCTATCAAAGACTGGTTTGCGTAAATTATATTGTGGTGTGTATGCTCGCTGATGTCCCTTGAAGCCAGGGATTGTTTTGGTCCAATTGTAGTGCAGGTATGTAGTAGGATCCTCATCGCTGTAAATAAGTTCAAGTGGGTTTCTGATATGCGCGTCTTCGATTTACTTTCCAGCTTATAGCCTCATCTGGTAATACAGTTTCGTGTGAGATGTTCAGAAGATCAAAGTTGGGTCTATTCTGGGGTTGGTTATAGACCTCGTATATCTTTAAGTGGTTTTGACATTTCCAAGCGTTTAATCCGTTTATTTCGCATATATCTTGCGTCGAGGCCATACTCTTGATTAGATCGTAATGTGATATGAGGCCTTCTTTTAATCCAGTCAAAATTTCACTTTCAGCTGGCCGGTATTTAGGTAGAAGGTATAAGGTGTAACCAAGGAATTCGTAGTATTTGAGTTTGTCATCCGTAGGGTTGGCTTCCATGATTGTGAATATGTCAATATCATAGGTATACAGGAGTTTCTTTATTTTTATCTTCTTATCTTGTGACATCCCTCTAGCATTTCACTGAAGGATCTGTAAAAGTTGAGATTCGCCCTGAAAAGGACAATTTCTCTTATAGCTTTGTTTTAAGCTGATCATAATAGTTTGAAGTCGACTACCGAGTTATAGACTTTTTTGCCATATAAGCATACGTTGTCCAGGGTGCACCACGTGGAGGCAAATCTATTGCACACCCCGTATTAATTTCCATAAAGGTACTTCTATTTTCTCAATACAAATCTTGTTCTTTCCGTCTTCTAAAGTCGTAGCATTTTGTAGTTATGTGAAGTGGAAAGCAAACGGTTAAAAAACATTGTTTCAGCTATTTCTCTTCGTGGAAGAGAAGAACAGTCAATGATACCTAAATGACAGAGGACGGATGTCCAAACAGGTGTTTGAATTGCAGAATAAATGTCGATAATTATGCAAGTCGACCTTGGTTTTCATATACCTACATGCTCATCATAGGTGTTTGTTACTTCGTTTACTTCAGCATTGCTTGTCATCCTGTCAAGGAAATCGCCTGTTCTGCATGCATGGGAGGAAAAGTTTCGTTGATCCAACCTGATAAAGCAACATTCTCAACAGTCTTTTTCATGCCGAAGCTACAACTTTCCGCGGTATCTTTCAGCCCAGATATTGATACACTAGCTATTTCGTCTCTCTCGGGGCATATTATGGTAAGATTTAGATTCACACCGGTTTCTTATTCATATTGAGCCCAACTTTTATGCATAAGCGAACAAAATAATTAGGGTCAAATACTTATGTTAATTCCAAAATAAAGTGAACACCTGATCTAGATTAAAGAACCTTTACGCAAACATTTAAGAGCTATTCTGGGAAGAAATTTTAAAGTCGGGTCATAAAATCACGAAGGAAGCCTTTGCCCATAAGAGGGAGATACCGTGTATAAGAAAGTTGAAATGCAATCATTATAACTACGAGTTCACAATAGTTACCGCATGTTTAAAATACTACTAACTGTTTATCAATTCCTACCACCATTTAAAATACCTGGTGGCAGATTGCGACATGAATAAGCCTTGACTTGTCATCATTAATCTCATTGACAACCTGAAAAAAGTATGGTAAGGCTCCCAAAATTAGCTAAGTTGCCTCAAAGCCGGAAAAAAGACGCAAGATCTGGAATACGCCTGATACAGAGCTTAGTCATTAAAATACTATTAGGGGTTTGCTAAACAGTGCAGCGACTGTTGAATGGTGATTGGTTGAGTGGCCTCTACACTCACGACTATACTTGCTCCCTTCGGACACACCTTGGGGCCTGTCTGTGTGTAATGAGCATTCTTTGTTCAGCCATAGTAGCGTTATACTCGGCACCACTTCAAATTTCAAATGATAAAGGAAGTGATGAAAGTTTTTATTGAGAAAATTATTAAATAAATGTTGATGATATTCAAACTATTGCAAATATTTTATAAGGAAAACCTTACCCAGCGCAGCTTTTATTAATCATATTCAAAATTATGCTAATTACCTAAAACAAAATGAAGCCCTGAGAAATATTTATCTTACAAGGTACTTCATTCAAGGCAAATTCATCTTCTTCATCTATTATATTGAACGTCAACATTCCGTCAATATACACAATCCATGAGTAGGCTAAACTACTATTCAAGGAAGATAGAAAAGCATTCGGAATCAGATTCTTTCATTTAATTTGTAGGCTAAACCACCAGTTGGGGGAAGAAGTTCAGACATTAAAGAAATTTGGTGTCACAATTTGAGATTGTTCAAGCTGAAGCATTAGTAAGCAATAATAGTTGAACCTGGTTGAGTCTGGTTTTGATACAATATAATGCAATATAATAATGATGGGCATTTAACTTGGCCTACCTTTCTGGAGCTTTCAGTAATCTTACGCAGCTGCAACTTGACACGATATGAAATGACATGATCGAGATAGGACTTGATCTCTCTCAGAGCTTCTGAATCTTTGTTTCAAATATTTTATAGACACCGATTACAATCCGACCTCTTCAAGTATTCTTCACCTCTCCTTTGAGTAAGAATATGTTGAAAGGCTTCTAATATACTGAGCAAATAGATCAGATCTAAACCACGGCACCTAAGAGTTGAAAATTCTTTACCAATGGGAAAAGTTATCCTTGAGTAATCATAACAGAAAATAAAAAAAACTAAATTTTTGTTAATTATGTATTTAAATGAATCCAAATAGCGTAATTTTAATATTCTGCTGCAGGTAGGCCAACTCAAAGAGAGTAACGAGGTAAGTGAGACGCCGCAAGTGGATATTGTGGGGAGATACCAACTTCACAAATCAGCCATACTCAGTCTTGCGTGGCACTGCGCTGGTGATTGCTTAGCATCTGGAAGCCTAGACGGCTACGTTCGAACATTTGCGTTAGAAAGACCTGGAGCTTTTGATACCTTCCGCGGTCATCGTGGAGGTGTGAACTGTGTCCGATTCCTCCCTAATAGTCATCTCTTCTTGAGTGCGTCTTCCGATAAGAGAATTATACTCTGGGATGCCCGTTCAGTAAGAAACATCATATTCCAATAAATATACTCTTCCATAGAAAAAGAAGGTACGACAGTTTAAGCATGAAGCGCCGGTAATAGGAACTGCTCTCTCTAAAGATGGATCAAATTTTGTTTCCTGTGACGCCAGTGGAGTTGTGTCACAATGGGATTCAAGGAATGCTAGGCAGTTCGTAAAACTGACCGGTGAAATAGCTTTTGGTCATGGGAGAAACTGTCTTTTATATTCACCCGATGAAAACTTTCTTCTAACGGGGAATACTGATGGTACTGTGAGCATCATCAACATAGTAAATAAAGAGGTGCGTAAAAATTGGAAGTTTTTGATACTAAGGAGTTATATGAAAGAGAATTAATGCTTACCTGACATGAAGTGGTTGCCAGGAATATCTGCTAAGTAAAAGATCACGAGTTAGAAACCGATCATCGTCCGTTCCCCGACCAATCTCATTGATTAGTGGGCGCGAAACCCCAGTTTCTATATGAGCTGTGTTAAGTTGCTTCCCCTCTATTCAACATTGGTGCTAAGAAATGGTTTCCAAAAGGGATTTGGCAAATTTCCTTAACTTTGAGAAGCTATGCCCTGTTGTTAGTCAAACGCCTACAGTGCTCTTAACTAGATCTATTGTTGATCGCTTAATTTTTTCATCTTTTAACAAAAACCCCTTCAGTAATTGTTTTTTTTGAGTGATCAAAAGGTAATGTAATTCCCTAAAAACTCTTTTGAAATAAAGGTTTCACACAAGCTCACTTCTTAACAAATAAATAAAGATGTAAAATTTTTTAGGAAGTTATTCTAATCCCCTTAGGTGTTAACTTAAGAAGAGGCATTTATTGGGTGGGCAACTAAGTCATTGCCGATTTCAAATAAGAAGGCAAATTCGGAATTTTTGTTTAAAAATATAACTTTATTCAATTAGATATTGGCCGTTCTTGTCGATGACCTTTTTCCATCGTTCTGGCAGAGTAAAAATTCCCCGTTCCTAAAATGTCTGGTCTTTGCTATTAAAAAACTGAATTAGGTGTGATCCGACATCATCCGCGTTGTTAAAAATTTTACCATTTAAAGAGTTTTGTTTTGCATGGAACGAAACAAATGGTAATCCGAAGGCGCAAGGTCAGGGCTATATGGTGGGTATAACAAAACATCCCAACCCAGTTCCAATAATTTTTGCCGAGTAACCAAAGATGTGTGGGGTCTTGCGTTATCATGATGGAAAACAACACCCTTCCGATTTGATAATGCCGGCCGCTTATCTTCAATTGCATCCTTCAGTTTTTCGAGTTGTTCAACATACACATTTGAATTTATCCTTTTGGTTCTGCGGCATGAGTTCAAAATACAAAATTCCTTTGTGATCCCACTAGACTGACAGCATAATCTTTTTTTGGTGAATCTCTGCTTTTGATACTGTTTGGGCTGGTTGATCTTGCTTCACCCATGATCTCCTGCGAGTAATGACATTGTTATAAACTATCCACTTTTCGTCGCCAGTAACTGTTTAGGTTCTTCAGAAATGGATCATTCTCATTGCGTTTCAGTAGCGGCGAATCACAGATGCTAATCCGTTGCGTCAAATGAATTTCCTTTAACTGGTGAGGGATCCATAAATCAAGTTTCTTGACATAAGCAAGGGTTTTTAATATTTTTTCAATGCATGTATGCGACACATTGAGCTTCTCTGCAATATCTCGTGTTGTGCTGTGACGATTTGAATCGATAATGGCCTTGATATGGGTTTCATCCACTTCGACTGTGAATTTTTCAGTGAAAAATCACCGGAACGAAATCTTTCAAACCGATTTCGACACTGCCTTTCTTTTAAGGCTTCATCTCCATATACGGCACATAACTTCTTTTGTGCTTGCGATGCGTTCTTGCCTTTTCGGAAGTAATACAATAAAATGTGTCGGAAGTGCACGTCCTGTTCTTTTATTTTTAAATTGGGATAAAAACAAAACTAAAGAACTAAACAAAAAAATTTTTTACTAATTAACCTAGAAGCCCATACAGTAAGAAAAAAATATAGGTTAGATGCTCTGGCCACGTTAACAAAACAAAAGAAAGTATAGAGTGAATCTGTTAACAAAAACGGCAATGACTTAGTTGCCCACCCAATAAAAAGCCAAATTTAGAATGTTCAAAAAAAGGCGGAGTTATTGTAGTGTAGAGCAGCAGGCAAGAGTTCACATGAATGGTGAATTTTGCTTAGAAATATTTCTTTTTTATCTGAATAAAGTACAAACAGTAATCGAGGTGAATGCCCGTCATAAGTAATATTACCAAATTATATATTATTTCAGTTTGTTAAAGTTCACTCGCCACTATCTTGTTTCTATTGTCTAAAGCCGCTCGGAATTACCCATTTGAAGTGGAATTCAAATAATCAAAAGAGATTAAATATTTCTGCTTCTGAAATGGCTTGCTGTTGGTTGTAAAAAGGATTAAAATTTTGCATTTTGAATTTTAGATTGCATACTTTACTTGTAGGCAGACTGAAGTAGGAGAAAAAGAATTACAGAGAATATCCTGACAAGTAGATCTCAGAATGACCCGAAACGTTCCAGTCAAATAACTTTAGATAGAAAAACGCAAGTTTGCACAAAAGAGTTAGATGCAAGGGAAGCGTTAGTCGATCAGAGAAACTGTTTAATCATCCGGAATTTCCAAAAAAGGGTGAAAACTTCAAACAAAAACATAACAAAATCTTAAAGTTATAATACTGAATTATAACAATTTTATGCATAATTTTAATTTATCGGTCTCGGGACTGGAAATTTCTTGTTGGTTATAAGGTCTTAAATGATTAGTGCAAATTTAAAATGGGTTATTGCATTACATTGACCCCTTTTATTAAACAAAAAGGGATTTAACTTTTATAAAAGTGAACTTGCAATTTGTAAATTTTAGGATATATTTGTTTAAAAATATCATATATGCATATTGATTTGGTATAACGAAAATACAAATTCTAAAATTGCCCAGACCCAGTAAAAGAAAGCAGAAGACTAGCCAACTTAATTATTCAGCAGGATATTGTTAGAGTAAGTAGCATTGACTAACTACCTATTTAAAGAGTAATGCGGTGATGATGTTACTTCCTTCCGTGTCGTGTGTAAGAAATGAGAATTGCCGGATATCCATGAATCCGAAAAAAACGAATTATTTTTACCGAATTCTGGAAAAGCTCTACAATGAAAAATAAGTAATCGACCTGTTCTGCTTTACTATGGTTCTTTTCAAGCTTGGCTGGTAGCATATGAGGAGAATATGAATTTGACAACTCATTTGAAATTTTCCAAGAATAATATGAGTGCTGAGATATTTTTCTATCCTCAGGCACATGCAATGGCAAAGTTATCTTCAAAAATTTAAAAAAATGAAAATAATTACATTTTCGGAAGCAATTTGATGGTATCGGGAAACAGTTGAGAGACAGACAGGCATATCTACTGTCGCTGATCATTGATACTGATAGTTTTGGCAGATAAACGACGAATAAAATCGACAGCCAGTTGAGTTCACACACAATAACGCTTTTCCCCCTAGCGACAGTATAAATTTCCGCATTTATTTAAGTCGCAATCTCAAAAAAGCATTATCGTGGGATTGTTGAGCTTCTTCGTTTGTAGTCTGGACAGTGGATAAGTGAATTTGGCGAATTGGACAACTTCGAACTTCATGTCCGTGAGATATTTAATATTCGCTTGTTGTTTAAATTTATTGGCAGTAAATAAAATACAATAAAATGACCATTTATTAGAAAATCTAATTGATCGAAAAATATCAGAATGAAAGGAGGAAGCGACCGCTTTAAAAATTTTAAAATTATATTGATATCAAATTCTGTCTTAGCTTTGACATGAAACCACGATTATCATTTGGGATAGCAGAAACTAAGTCTTATATTTTCTTATCACTTTAAATATTATTAGAAACGAATCAATTCTCGGGACACACATAGTCTAAGGTTTTGATAATCCAAGTGCTGAAACAATTCCTTTTTATACTGAGTGGCAAATAATTTATTTATACAACAGTTTATATGAAAAAGAAAGGTGGAACAATAAAAATAGCATATAATTTAATTTGAAATTTGAAGTAGTAATTACCCTTTTTCTGTCCTTTCTTAACTAATCGGAACACCTGGGCTTGTGCTTCTCTAGTGAAACTTATCTATTCTTAAATTCGATCAACTATTTTTGAACTTCATAGAGAGCTAATAATCAGACACCCTATTAAATATTGAAATTTTAAGAGCATTTCCAAATTAATCTGCCTATGCTTGTGCATTTAATTTCATTACCCTAAATTGGTAATCACCACTTCAAAAATTTTAAATCAGTCACCTCATTATATGTCAGTGCGACCTAAAGTGCTGATGGAATAATTCATCAGTATAATTGGTGACTGATGAATCGGATGAACTTGATATGTGTCAAAGGTCAAAGAATGCGAGCAACAGAGAAATAGCCTTTCGGAACCTAGGTCAATTTTGATAAACCATTTCCTAAATAATCTCAAAACATCAGTATATTGGCACTAATTGCTCCTGAAAAGCGATTAATGCAAAAATATTGAGAAAGTTGCTTTTATAAATCTTTTTTGGATTGTTTCATCTATTACTATATTTTATCATGGAGAAAGCATATAATAAAGAAAATCCCAGTTAAAATATGTCCAGCAATAAAAAATTAGTTGGTACTAGAAAAGCTTTATAATAATAACTTTCAAAAATTAAGAAAACGGTTTAAATATTTTTGTTTCTTTACAGATTTCGAATATTCAAGTCCACAGAGCGCCTATCACTAGTTTTACATTCTGTCAACTTGGCAATCAAGTGATGACTTCGAGTAATGATGGATGTGTTGCAATTTGGTCACAAATCTCCTCAATCTTTGAGAATTTTTCAAATATCCACAACTCAAACCATCGCATTACAAAAGATAATTAACCAAACCAATTTAATTTGTAATAACGTCTCTGAAATCACCTCTTATCAAATTGAAATAAACAAAATTAATGAGAAGATAACTTTTAAAATTATTTCTTCTTATTGAACTAAGAAATATATTTCTCAAGTTTAAATTATATTATTATGATAAAATAATATAGATTAGATTTAATTACGAGTAACCAATTCTGACAATTTAAAAACATTTATTTATTATTTTTTAATATTAAATAAAAAATAAAAAACAATTTCATTTTATTACTTGAATAAAACTAGTCAGGCATGATTGATTAAACGTCATGTCTTAAAAATTTTTCAATACATTATTAAAGTTGATTTCTTGATTTTAAATAATTACGAAACAACAGGGGAGAAGCCAATGAGCTGAAATACCTAGGCTTCTAATTATCCGCAATGAATGTAGGCGACGTCCACATTCAAAATGGATGAAGGCCAATGCAATAGGCAATAGCTAAGCTGATCAAGAGAGCCCGTTTCATTGTTGTGGTTCCGACTAAAACGAGTGAAAGAAATTCGAGTTCAAATGTGCAAAAAATGGATTGTAAATGGGAAGACTATTTGAAGCAAAAATTGAATGATTGAGAAGATTTATTTATACTTTTAAAAATGTTATTTAAATAATGTGTGAGTAAAATGGGAATTCTTATAGTGTGGGTCATAGACATAAAAGAGATGAACAAAGAAACTGACTGCCGAATAGAAGCGCAGTGGGAACGTACAACTCCGTAGTTGATGTTCATTGATGGAGTGCTTAGACAGGGGTGATAGTAAATTGGCATTTAGTATTCATCTGGGAAGGTATGGGGTAAAGACAAGGCAAACATTTGATAGAAAAGGGGATAAAGAAAGTGCTGTCGGACGAATTACTGTGTTTCCGGAGGACGAGACAATGCAAGCAAGACGATAAGATCTTGCCGACTAGTAGCTGCTTACTGACAATCGCCACGCAGTCAAAAGCATCAACCCAGATCGCAGAAATTGTTTATTATGAATAATTTGGTTGAATATAGTTGGACCATATTTGTTAACTTGAGCGTTTTAAGCCAATGCTCCTTCGTGTCTAATCGAAATGATAATTGGAAGAAGCCCATAGTTTAGGAGGCACCGATGTAACTCGAAAAATATCCATATGGAATGTTAACTACCGTACTAGAATACAATGGGGTGGACAATATTCATTTTAAGAGAGAATACGGAGCAGGTGTCAATATCTTCGTCACTAACTTTGCCAACCCAGTGCGACGGAATTTTAAAACAAAAAAAACAACATTGTGCAGCTTGGAATCTGTAGATCAACCAGAGTATTGGTGGAACAAGAATGTTAATAAGTTCTATGATCACGAAAAAAAATTGAAAGTTTCCAAACTTATGGGAACCAGTCATATAGTTTCACAGTTTCAAATAATCCAAACAGTTAAATTGTTCAAGTAGTTCATAACAGAGAAAACCCGATAAATTTCTTTTGGCCATAGTAATAAAAGTGATAGTTTCTGTTTTTATTAAGGTTCTTTAGTAAAGTTAGTGCAAACAAGGATTATTGTCAAAATACCATCGATTTCTGTTAGGTAAATAAACCTATTCCTTATCAAGACCGATGATCCGATAATTTGCTCAGGCAACTCAGCCATTGGTATAAACCAAATATGAAACTAAGGGAACTATTTATTATATTTGAATATCAGATTTCAGGACTATTAATGAGGAAACAAAACAATGAAAAATAATTTTTTTCGCTTGCAAAAATTGAATCGTGACTTTCCCATATAATTCCTTTTTGTTGATTTCCCATCTAATAATTATACAAAGCTGAGCAATTCTTGTACATTTAAGTATATTTAGGTTATTTCCACAAATTAATAGACAAAAGTAGTCAGTTATAAAAAATACTATAGCGTTACTCTAGTGGAGTCTTACATACTTAAGAGTTAAACAATTATAGTTTTATGATTGAAGCTCCAAACGATCTTCACTTTGATCCTAATATTCAACCAATTAAAAGCCATCAATGCTAGAGGGTAGAAGAGTGGTGGGGGGGAGAGATAAGTGTATTGATTGTCAGTTTGGTTTATGAATTGTCCGTTTTAGAATCCCGTTCGTAATTCTCAGTTGAAAGAGCCTTGAATCGTAAGTTTTTTGTTTACTTGATTTATTTCTCTTGAATGGACAGAGACGGTTTTGCAACTTTTAAATATGGAAAATGACTAAACGCACTGATAGAAAAGTAAGAAAAAAGTAATATTTTAAATAGTCATTTTGAAGGTAGAAGTGAGAGGCAGTTCTTCAGAAAAATCCCACTTTATCTTAGCTTCAAAATCATCACGTTAACTGCTTTTCAGTGTGAAGTCTAATAATACTTATTTCTTCTTTTCAACTTAGCGCTCTTTATACAAAAAACTTGGATTGTAAGTTTCTATTCACTGTATCGCAGTTCACTCGTCAAATAATTTTAGTAGGTCCTAACTATCATGGTAAGTGGCAATTGAATGTCATAACTAACGGTTAGAATAAATTAACTGCCCAATAATTTTGCAATAAATTTGAACGTAAACCCAATTAGAAGCCAAATTATGAAAATCCGGATTTGTTAATAGAATATAAAATAAATAAATTAAGCTGAAAGGTCGATGAATCAATGAAAGCAAATAAAGTAAGACCATTTTGAGGGTCTCACGTGCCTTTAGTTATTAATATTTTAAGTTCATTGTTTTTGCACGAATACCAATTTTGACCGCATTTTATCTGATTTTGTTTTTCACGGACAAAACTCACTACTTGATAATAGGGTGGTATTATTAAAAATATCTTTTTCAGAACATTGCAATATGATTTTTTCTTTTTAAAAATTTGATGGTTAACGCAAGCGCAAATAGATGTAATCTGGAATTGAAGCAAAAATTTTTATCTAATGAGTTTTTATCAAATTCATTTCAAATAAATTTGTAAAACAGTGAAAAATGCCGTAAACGAACGTCATTTGTTAATTTTGAAGCTATTTTAGTCCAGAACAAAATAGAAAATATCAAAAAGATTGGCCTTGAATAATTTATCAAATATGGGTCAAAAATATTGAATTGAATTAGTAAATAACCATGAAGAGATTGGTAAATTGTTAAAAATATTCTAAGTTTGCAAAAAATAGTGCATGATATAATCGCTTTTCAATTGAACAACTTTAAGGCTACTGTCAATCATTTGCTTGAAATTTATTTTAGAAATAGTGCGCCTTAAATTGAACCTATTTTCTTTAAATATATGCTCAATACATATAAAGAAGTCGGAACCCAATGGAACATAAATAAATGAAAGGTCGTCTTCAATATTAGAAAGTTGAGCAAATCGAGTGAAATGGAAATGGGATGGGCTTATTAAGGGGGTATTCTTGTCTAGAGGCATGAATTTTAGGTTATTTTTTAAGTACTGTAAAAAGGCAAGCATTATTTTTATTATCAATTTTTTTATACATTATTTATTCACCTTAGAAGCATGCAAAAAACTAAAAAATTTGAATTTCGTTATTTATCAGCTGATGGAGTGGGGCGTCCCAAAATATGGTGCATGACCATACCCACGATTTTAGCACTCCAAGCAATCTGAAATCAAAAAATAAAGACGATTATCAATCTACAATGATGTCGCTATGTCCGGAACTACGGAAAAGTTTTAGCTATATTTTTTTACAAAATGGCGACTGTCTAAAGAAAAACCATTTTTGCACCACTTTTTTGAACATTCTTAAATTTTTAAAAATGGTAAAATTAAAATTTTTAGATGGCCATAGTTCCGGACATAGCCAAGCCTCTAAAAAAGACTCTCTTAAAATTTCAAGTAAATCGGTTGGGCAGAGTCTGAGTAATCGTGGGTATCAGATTCAAATAACAGTTTTGAGAACAAAGCCTTTTAAAGTTTCAAGTAAATTTTTTGCAGTCTAAGTCATAAAATTATATTTTAACTTACATTTATTCAATCTTCCATTCCTGCTGCATACATCGGACCTTCCTCGACTTCGGAAAAACTGTTTGGTGTCTCTGTTTTCCATTCGAGCAGTTCTGGCCACCTTTGATGCGCTGGATGCTCGTATCTCGG